TTAAAAAAAAAAGAGAAAAAATTTACAGGCCTACAAAACACACAAGACAGGGCCATGAAATTCTAATATAACAACTTTTATTTTATTAGTTTATTAAAAGCCATGTCTTCATGAACCAAAATATTCACTTGCATAGAGAAGAATTTATTAAATCAAATCAAGGTGCTTGTTTAAATAATTTGGAATATCTGTCTATTTGGAAGCAAATAGGCAATTAGATGATTTAAAAAAAATATTTATGGTTGGTGTCCTATAGACCCAACACAAACGAATCTGCATTATTATATTAGCTGATGTATCATCAAAGTAGATAGTCAAAATATTGTCTTAACTATTTATTTTGCGCTAAAGTATAATTCAGAGAGGCCCTCATAGAAGATTGTGCTTCAGAGATCAGTGGAGCTCTATTATTCTGCTGTACTTTTTGACAGAATTCTTTTTATTAAGTAATGGAAGAATATTCATAGTTAACATTTATTGAACACCTACTATGTGCCAAGTAGTGTTTTAAGTCCTTTATACATATTAACTCAGGCAATCTTGAAAATTCCATGAGGCAGATAGTGTTATCTCCATTTTGAGGCCAAGGAAACTGAGACACAGTGAGGTTCAAAGATAATCTGGCCAATTCACCCACCCAGTAGGAGGCAAAAACTGGATTTGCCACCAGGCAGACCAGATCCAGAAAGCCAGCACTGACCACACCATCTTGGCAGAAAATTCTAGGTGTGTCCTTCACTTTTATTAAGATTGTCTATTGCTTGTAGAACATTTTAAATATACCTACTTGTTCAGTTTTTCTCATGTTCAGATTTGAACATTTACATTGTTTACCACACCTTCCAATTTATATTCTGTAATACAAGTTCTAATTTTGAGTTAAACACTATTTTTGTCAGCTGCCAAAGTAGATAGACTGAGTGTTTATTTGTGAGAAAGGCTATGGTTCACCTTTGGAAATAATTAGGGATTGTGGATTCTCTATGTGATGTTGAGTCACGTGTATTTGAGCATTTCAAAAGAGCTGGAGAGTTTTCCAAGTTTCAATGGGTGTAAACGGAATAAATGCTGATCTCATAACAAGCCATAACTACAAGTAAAAATACCATATATTTCAGAGGAACACAAGTCTTTTTTCTGCCTATTGATGATGGTACCTTGAATTTCTAATCTAATTCTGTTGAAAGTAGTTCAGTCGCCCATATCTGGAACTCCAGGACAGGTCTGATGTTCTGCTGTAAAATATGTAACTTGCCTTGGGCCCACACACTCACTTTTATGTTTTGATTCATGCAAATTTTTAAGGCAGAAGGTGTTAATTTCAAGTAAGATAATTTAAAATAGTGCCAAACTACTGTGATTCCATCTAAAATCGACCTAACAGCAAGACTATTTTGCACGTAAAAATTTGTGTCTTAACTATAAATATAATTTAATCTGTAATCAGTAAACACAGGCCGATATTTGAGCTTTCCTAGCCATCTACTAGAGGCAGTCCAACTCTCCCTCATTACAGGAAAAGCTGACCCAGAACTAGCAGCAGTTGTTAAAAAAAAAAAAATTAGATCGTCCTAATCTTTTATTCCATTCTCTTATTTTTATTCCTTATAGTAATATATAAGTATACATATTATGTTAGTTAAAAATAAAAATAACTATTTTGATTATACTCTATCTTAGGTATAGTTTTCTGATCCTTAAAACATCATGGCCATCTATCTATCATCTATCATCTATCTATCTATCTATGTATCCATCATACGTATGGCATATATATAAATATATATATATGTGATATTTATATATTTCATATATATATCTTGTATTTCTATCTAAAAAAGAGTCAAACTCAGAGATGTGGAAACATAAGAAAAAAACCAATGCTTTTTCCACTCTGTTGTTTCACAGCCCAACTTTTTGAGTCTGCTCACCATTTTCCCTCACATCAGCCCAGCCACAATGTTCTCTCGTGACCGGTGAGTGTCTTGAGAGCAGAGACCTGTATATTTCATTTCCAGAGACCTAACAGCCTTCAGGAGAATTCCTGATACATCAAGTCTACAAACTCTTATCTATATCCCTTAAGGCAAAGCATTTATACCTCATATTGTATTATACCTCAGCAACTTCACTGAGCTCCAAGGCAGTCCTTTTTAATGGAATATATTAATATTTTTGCAGCATTATATATAAATATACTACCTTACTAATCTTGCATTTTTCTAAAATGATTAACATGTGAATTGCCATTGTTTTTTTCCCCCCTCTCCGTCCTTCCCTGTCTCCCTCTCCCTCTCTTTTTCTCTTTCTTTCTTTTAGATATATATTAAGGAGTCCTTCCATGTGCAGATTTCTGAGAAGCTTTCACATAAATGGATTTAACAAAGAGAAAGTGATCCTAGACTTCCCATGATGGTGGCCACTATTGCGATGTATTGGTTTTCATCTGAAACTATTGTCAGATATTCAAATGCATTGTTTTTTGGGGGGAAAAAAGTGAAATATATGGGTTTACAAAAATGATGGCTATCTGTACCTCTCATGGCATTATTCCTTTCTCCTTTTTATGTTCATTTATGCATTTATCTCACTAGAATTGTTTACGGAAGAGTCTAGGTCTCCTCAGTGTATATAACAAAATGGCTTGGAAACAGTAGGCACTCAATAAATATTTACTAAATTAAATAAATTAATAAATTACAAAACCAGTGAAATATGAGAAAGGTGGCAAAATACCAGGTACAAAAGGTAGTATTTTATTTGCTACAGAATGCTTGAGAAGTCAGTATGACGGGTGCAGCAACTGAAGTTGTAACCAAAAACTGTTACCTGCTGATAGCTACATAAGCAAGCAGCTACTATCTGGAGAAAACTGTCCTTAAAGCCTATGCTTTGTGAGGCAAAGAGGACAGACTGACATTCTCCGTAAAATACAGCGCAAAGGTTGGTTGTGGAAATAACATTTGAAAAAATATTTTCCAAAATGTTTTTATGGCCTGGATACTTATGATTACTGGTTGCATATTGGCTTGAATATTTATGATTGAAGACCAAGGGAAAAAGTACACAAGTACTTCAAGTTACTGGCAAATCAAATGAATGTTTTGTATGAAAATAAGATAATATGTGGTTTACAACACTGCCTTCTGGGGAAGATTGTCCAAGGACAGCATATTCGCTCGCCGAAAGGCAAACAAGGTTGGCTTTTATTTTTACTATGAAATCTGTGTCTAGAAAGTTTTGAGTGGTCCTCTCCTCCAAACAACTTGCATGATTCACAAAGCCTTTCTTCTCGAACGGCTTTGCAAAAGACACACTGGCAAAAAGCAACTGAATCATATGATAGTATTAATGTGCTCAATATTGTAATTTTGCTTTTTCCATGATGAGGAAGCAAAGGTAATGCAATTCTAACATCTTAAAATAAGTTGGCCTTCTGTTCTGGAAGTTCTAAATGTGGTTAAAAATTTGCATAAAAGATAAGGAAGTTTTCTACACTGCTTCAATCAGCAGGTCCTTGACTGCTTTGTTTTCTGTAAAATTACTCTGCATTCATACCATTTTGCAGTCATTTGCATGGTTTGTTATAGAAAAAGAAATGGAGAAGTAGGCAAAGTTTGTCTTAAGTTTTTCTCCTTCCTTTTCTCTCTGAGCACCTTCCACACGATGAAGTCCTCCTTTTGCCGCTGTTGGTAGTTACATTGCCCACCGCTCAAGAGATCAACTTAAGAAAGAAAAATGATTTTACCCGTGATCAAAAAACCCTGTGGAATGAATAGTGCCTCGCTCTGGTTTCTTCTCTTGCATTATACTGCACTGTTACAGCACCCCATTCCATACATCTAAACAAGCTTCTGCACCACGTACTCTGTTCCTATCACTCTATTCACCCAAAGAGTTGCATCAACATTTTTAAGATGGGCCCATTTCTTACTGAATTTTGAATCTAATTGCGGGGGCAAGACATGTCATTAGGAAGAAGCTAATAGACACAAATTATTATAGATTAAATAATAATGTGGTATGAAACAGGATAGTGGAAAAAGCATAGTTCTTATTCCTAAATTCGAGTTGTTCATTGACAACATGTTAGTTTATTCATTATGAAGATTATGAAAGTTTTGTATAGTGCAGTTGTTAAGATCTTCTCTGTACCATTTGTACTATGTGTGACTTTGGGCAAGTCGCCTAACTTATCTGAGCATCATTTCTCCTCTTTGCCAAAAGAGTTGGTGTGAGTAAATAAAGTAAGAATTAAGCATGGTGCCTGCATGATATTTTCTATCTTTAAAATATGACCTTTGGCAAATGATGAATTCTCAGTTTTTACATACATAATGTGGAAATAATAGTAGCATCTCATTCATATGGTTGTGGTGAATATCAAAGAGCATAGGAAGGGGCTTGACATTTACTGAGATCATTCTGTACTAATATAGAGATGCATGACTACATAAAAAGAAAGTTAGAAAATGAGAATAAAATGGAAATATTTAAAAAATATTGGCAGTTAAAAGCCAATATTAAAGAGGGATGGGAACCAACTGTTAACTGTTACTGTCACAATTTTATAGGAACAGAAGCTGATGCTTACAGAGGGTAAGTAATTTGCTCACGTTCACTCACAAGTAGATTCAGTCTGGAAGTTGTCTATCTCTTAACCGTTTCACAATATTGAGAAACTGAGGCGTGGCAACATTAAGGAAGGTGCAGAGACAAGCCTCAAGGCCTTGTCTCCTTGTAAACTCAATGTCCACTGTCATTTCATTTAGCACATGACCTCTTTGGAGGATCTGGGTTAGAGAACTTCGTCCTCTGGGTAGCCAGAGGGACATATGACTGGGTAGTTTCAGTGAACTGGCCAAGCTTTCTGAGGGTGTGGTGGAAACAGGGTTTGAAGCAGAGTCTGTCTGCCCTTAAAGGCCCGTGCTCATTTCGTTGCACCCGCCTCAATCATTTTGTAACAAATCCCTTATAAGTAAGACAGGACGGAGACTTACTCTTCTTGGCTTCCTCTAGCTTGTCCTTGGCCCTTTTTTCTGCCTGAAGGAGCTGGTGGATCCCCTGAGACTGGCTGGTCATGGCAGCCTGCTTCGAGTTAGGTGGCTTCTGTGAAATCCGGGAAGTGGCACATCTATTTATCCTTTAAGAAATCACCACATAACTCAGATTGTTGTGTCAACAGCGAGTTCTAAACACAGGTGTTTGTTCCCAAATGGCCTGATTGGGCCAGATAGCTGGGCCCCAAGGAGAGCCCAAGGGTGGAATCCAGAAAAACAAGTTCAGTCAAAATGAGGAAGCTGAAAACTTGTCATTTCAGCTAACTTCAGTCTTCTATACAAAATAAGATTTTCATGGGGCATTGAGTCTACTTATAAAAAAAGCAAGTAAGATACTTTTTGGCAGATTAGCTTCTTTCTTCCAAGAAATATTGACTTATTTATGATCTTTTTCTTTTTTTAAATGTTTATTTATTTTTGAGAGAGGGAGAGAAAGGGAGGTGAGTGGGGGAGGGGCAGAGAGAGAGAGGGAGACACAGAATCCAAAGTAGGCTCCAGGCTCCGAGAGGTCAGTAGATCCCGATGCAGGGCTCGAACTCATGAATCGTGAGATCATGACCTGAGCCAAAGTTGGATGCTAAACAGACTGAGCCATGCAGGCGCCCCACAAAATTTTTCTTTCAAGTTGAAAGACCTTTCTTTGTTCTTGTCCATGCAGTTCTGGTTTTAGAGGTTTTTTTTTTGTTTTACTTGTTTCTACGGGTACAATTTTCTGTTTTGGGTAAATTTATTAACTTTTTGCTAAGAAGGAGATGTCCTGGCTTTGTGCACACAAAATAGACTAGGAATCTATTCTTTTCTTTTTGTAGGCCTCAGGTGATAATAATGAAAAGATTTCTTTGGGGCATTGAGTGCTTTTTAGTTAGTAATGCTATATGCTAGAGTTTCAGGGAGATCTCAGTGTGGTGACAAAATCAGGATAAAGGGAAATTATAACTGTAGGTTTTGAGGTTAAATTAAAATAAATTAAACATGCATTTTATATTACTCAGTGCTTATCCTGGGTGTTGTCCTAACATAGTAAGTACAGTGAAATCCACTTTGATTTGATTCAATCCAGTAGTGATTGGAACAAGTGAGAATGTTAATCAAAATGGAAAACTATAAAATATCATTCATATGCATCTAAAATTGTTATATAAGAATGAAAAGCTAATATGTTGACTTATGGCCAAGGCTTTTCTTTTTCCTGAAATGGTCTGTAGATTGGAATTTCACATATTGTTACTTCCATTAACTACGCCTCTGTTGCTTCACTTATAAACACCAGGTCAGGGGCGCCTGGGTGGCGCAGTCGGTTATGCGTCCGACTTCAGCCAGGTCACAATCTCGGGGTCTGTGAGTTCGAGCCCCGCGTCAGGCTCTGGGCTGATGGCTCGGAGCCTGGAGCCTGTTTCCGATTCTGTGTCTCCCTCTCTCTCTGCCCCTCCCCCGTTCATGCTCTGTCTCTCTCTGTCCCAAAAAAAAAAAAAAAAAAAAAAAACAAAAAAACAAAACACCAGGTCAAATTTCTTTCAAGAGGCACATGGATTTAAAAATAATTGTAAAATAATCTGAGAGCTAAATCTTTTAAGGTTTTAATGATAACTTTCCCCTGATACTCTAGAGTTGTCTCGTCCGTGCCTATAGCACAATGTTATGTGTATGTCGTTTTTAGCAAATCTTTCTGAAAGGAACAGCTCTTTTTCACAGGAATGCCTTTCTTTTTGCATTCATATGTAATCAGTTTATAAAATTTAATTTTTATTGCATAATTACAATGATTGGTGTAGCTGGAATAAACAGATATTTGAACAAATATGGGTCTGGAAAACATATTTCAACTCATAGGAGCACATGTGACGGCAACCTGGAGTTTGTTACCTTCAGGTTGGGCTTGTCTTAGGCATCAGTTAGGATTCTTTTAGTAGCAGAGAGAATGGAGGTTTTCAATGATTTCTGTGAATAGTTATGTGGCGATTATGATAAGAAACCTGCTTTACTTTTGTATTAACAGAATTTATTAACTATTTCCTGCCTGCATTTCCCTGAACGAGGGCCAATCTTGAATTACTGAGAAAGGATAATTCAGATGGAGTGAGATTACTAGAGTGGAATTAGGTAGGAAGGATTTTGTGACAAAGGTAATCCTTCATGTGGCATAGGAAACTACAATGTCTCCTAAAAGCTTGAAGAGACAGATATGACTGTCATAATCTGAACAAGGTACTTAATGAAATTCTCACCAGCAACGTCTTCCCGCGTCCACAATGACACGTGCCTGGCCCAGTTTTATTCCTTTCCCGTGTGCTTAATTTTTTTTCATTAGAATCAGTTTGCAGAAATAATATCATATGAATCTGCATGTATCTTAAGTCATCTTAGAGGACATTATACTTTCAGACATCTGCTTAGAACCGAAAATATATATTATGTGAAATGCAAAAGATACTTAACATCACTTCCTGCCCCTACCACCAGGAAATGTACATCTGTGATTCACACTGGGACTAATTGTACTACTAACAAATTCAATCACTTGTAACTCAGCAATACCTTGATTAAATTCAGTCTGACAAGGGTGCCTGGGTTAAATTGGTTGCTTAAGCATTGGACTGTTGATTTCAAGTCAGGTCATGATTTCATAGTCATGGGAATGAGCCCTGGATTGGGCTCCACACTGAGCTTGGAGCCTGCTTAAGATTCTCTCCCTCCATCTCCCTCTGCTCCTCCTCCACTTGTATGCATATGCATGCTAGCTCTCAAAAAATAAAAACAAAAAAAGTTTTAGTCTGACAAAGTTCTCATACTCCTATCAGAATCCTGCATGTAATGTCAGATAACAGTCATGACAATTTTCAGTAACCTAGATCTTCAATGGAACAAAAGAATCACCTGTTGGTAGTTGCTGCTAATACAATAATATTGTTAGACCCCCTTCTAAATGTCTGTTATGCTCAGGAAGCATATCAATGGCAGAAAATTTTAATCATGTTTTCTTTATGATCAAAACACACAATTTTTAATTTCATGGTGGAAGTTTTTTCTTCTTTTATTTAATGGAAATGTCTCCGCTGGGCACAAAAATATAGACAGGACATTGCATAATCTCTATTGACGAAAAGATGCAAAGTGGAATATCCGAGAGTGTCTACTGAGGAGATAAAGACTTAGGGCATAACTCAAAGTAGGGAGTTAGAATGGATTCTGTTTTCTCTTGACCCACAAAGGATTACCCTCCTAATGAAAAGGAGGGATGGAGAAAACCACCTATAACAGAGAAAAATGGAAAGGAAGCTACTGTTCCATAAAGAAAAAAACAAGTAAAAATGTGTGGGTTTGAAATTATATTACCAGGGTGTTCCGTAGAGATAAAGCCATCCTGAACAGAAGCTTACAATCTAAACTGCAAAAGAAATGAGAAGGTGAAGTCGAGGAGAAGTGGGCAGTATGGTGGTAGATAGAGTCAGATGCCTGGCAATGGAATTTAAACTTTATCATGTAAGCAATGGGTTATTTTTTTATAATTTTTATTTACTGTATTATTATTATATTATTACTACATGTTATTAACTTACTATAACTGAGTTATTCCCTTTTTTAAAGCAAAGCTAATTCCTGATATGTCTATTTATTGATAAAATTTACACTTTAAGGATAATCATATTTTGAAAAAATTTATCTGCTAATGACTTGGATTTTGAGTTGTGCTTTTAAGGTTTTGTAGCATTGAGGTATCAGTGGACAAGCATTTCTTTTTGTATTCACTAATAAAATACAACTATGTTTCAAAACTGGGTTTAGGGGCGCCTGGGTGGCGCAGTCGGTTAAGCGTCCGACTTCAGCCAGGTCACGATCTCGCGCTCCGTGAGTTCGAGCCCCGCGTCGGGCTCTGGGCTGATGGCTCAGAGCCTGGAGCCTGTTTCCGATTCTGTGTCTCCCTCTCTCTCTGCCCCTCCCCCGTTCATGCTCTGTCTCTCTCTGTCCCAAAAATAAATAAACGTTGAAAAAAAATTAAAAAAAAAACAACAACAACTGGGTTTAATAGTTTACAATTTATAATGCATATTTCCATATATTAGCTCATTTGATTCTCACAGTAGCACTGGCCACAGGTATTGTTATCACACATCACATTGACTTTACCAATAGAGAGGCCAAAGCTTCTATCAAATAAGCAAGACTAATGGTTGAGAAACTTTGGCTCAGAAAATATGAATAACAGGCCCAAGGTCAGAGTTCCTAAGTGGAAGGACCGAACTGATCTCAAGGTCAATCATCTTCCTACTGCACAGTGCTCTTTCTATTCTCAGAAAAACTTTCCTTCCATATTTCATTTTTCTTGATGAAAAATATAAACAGAAAATAAGGAATGTCTGTTGGCTTTTCCCTCTGTATAAAAAACTATTAAAATACAAATCAATTAAAATGCTAGATGCTCAAACAGTTGATAATAAAAATATCAAAACAAGGTGAGATTTGGCTTAACCAAGGTCTTGCTTGTTAAAGATTACCCCTCAGGAATGCTTTTTTTTTTTTTAATTTAATTTATTTATCTATTTTTAATTTAATTTTTTTTTTTTTTTTAATTTATGAGAGAGAGAGAGAGAGCACGAGTGGGGGAGAGGGAGCAGAGGGAGAGAGAAAATTTTAAGCAGCCTCCATGCTCAGGGCAGAACCTGATGTGAGGCTTAATCCCATGATGCTGGGATCATAAACTGCACCAAAATCAAGAATCTGATGCCTGAACAATTGACCCACCCAGGCATCCCAGGAATGCTCATTTTAAGCAACTAGACTTCTTCCTATTCTGTTTATTTGGGACCACTTGCTCTGGTCTTATGGTTTATTATATTCTTTTTTTATTCTTTTATACCTAGAAATTAAACCAAATAACAGAATTTTCTTTAATTTGAGTGGTATAAATCATTTGGGGTTTCTATGTTAATGGAATATTAACATTGTTGATTTTTATGAGTGACCATATAAGAAACACAATTTACTGATACTGTTACTTATTATTTTATTTTATTTTATCTTATT